TTACAGGTTAAAAACTAAATATGGATGCCATACTTTCTTACAGATGCTATTTCCATGGCCAGACATGCCTATAAAGACATTGCTTGTTCTGTGATAATATTCTTCACTGTAACCAAACCCCTTTCAAGTTCTAAAATTTGATAAGACTTATGAAAGTTCAAAGTCATCTTAATCCTGTCATGATTGTCATTTTCTAAAATGTGGGTTTCACAAGTAAGCCGTAGTAAAAATAGGTGAGATTCTTCTCCTGTGCATGTGAAATTTATAACTTGAAGAAAGGCATGATTTTATCTAAGAAAGAATCTTCTTTCATAAATATATCTGTAGCTAGGGACAACAGGAATGTTTGGAAATAATAACCACTTTCTAAAAGATAATGTCCCCTCAAATGGGGATCTTACACAAATAAGGAAACTTCTAATTAATTTACCCCCAATTAAGATCTCAGCTCCATGAGAAGGAAGAGGTGTGGTTGATCAAAGTATGGATGGTAAATTTGATTAAGTTGAATCTTACATGCCATGGTAATATGATACAGGGATAAAAAACATGGACGTGGGTATTAGATAAATCAGAATCTCCATGGATACCTGCTGCTTTTGACGAATGACCTTGGGCAAGTCAGTTAACCTCTCTGTGCTTCAGTTTCCCCTTATGTAAGACACAGATAAGAATAACACCTTTCTCATTTGATGAGCATTGAATGAGATGGCATATGTCAAGTGTTTTAAGACAATATCTGTTTCATAGTACATACTCAAAAATAAATATTACTGGCTATTATTACTATTATTAATGTTAGAACTGAGTGACTACTGTTTTTTCACTTTAAACAGCTGCACAAGAAAAATAGAAATCAGAAAAGAAGACTTAAGACTTCTTTGTTCTGAAGTTTAAAAAAATGTCATTTTTCTATGTACAAATGTAACAAGTGGTGGCAAGTTCATGGAATCAAACAAACTGTGCAATTGGGGATAGATATAATAAATTATGTCCATCCTCGAGGATCTCTGCATTTAATTAGGAAGATAAGACTCTCATGCATTAAAAGTAAACAACAATACAGCATAAGAGCTGAAATAATATATCTTCTGAATTTACATATACAATGTGTGAGGCCTCCTGAGAAATTGTTCCTGCTTTAAAAACAAATTTTTTTTTGAAATTTGCCACTAACATCCATGGTTGGGGGTATAAAGTCTGCGTTCCCCTTTAAAGGTCTTTTGGCAATGTCTATCAAAATGAAAAATACGCACCTTCTGACCGAGGAATTCTAATTCTGAAATTTATTTTATGGATATACTCTTACACATGTGCAAGGAAATATGTATAGAGATATTACCTACAGCACTAGTCTCATGGAAATAAATCACAGAAAATGTATGTGGTGGAATACTACACAGCCCAAAAAGAATAATATGGATATGTAAGTGTTTATGTGGACGATGACCTAGTAGTACTATTACACAAAAGAGCAGGCTAGAGGAGAGGATATGTAAAAAACTCATATGAAAAGCTAATCAATGTGCTCTGAGCCAGCAATTCCAATTCTGGGTATATACCCAAAAGAATTGAAGGCAGGATCATGAAGAGATGTTTGTACACCCGTGTTCATAAGAGCATTGTTTGCAATATGTAAATGGTGGGAACAAACCAAATGTCTATCGACAGATGAATCAATAAGCTAATTGTCAAATATTCATACAATAGAATAGTATTCAGTCTTAAAAAGGAAATTGGCACATGCTACAAAATTGATAAACCTTGAGAATATTACATTAAGTGGAATAAGCCAGTCACAGAAAGACAAATACTGTATGATTCCACTTATATGTGGTAACTAGGGTAGTCACACTTAGAAATGAATGTAGAATGGTGGTTGTCAAGAGTCGGGGGGGGGAGTGGAGAGCTGTTTAATGGTATGGAGTTTTAGTTTTGGAAGATAAAAAAATTCTGGAGAGTGGTTGCACAAAAACATGAATGTACTTAATACTACTGAACTGTACACTTTAAAATAGTTAGGATGGTAAACTTCATAGTATGTGTATTTTACCACAATTAAAAAGTTTTAAAATAAGTTAATGTATTATGTATCTGTTTGTACATATATAGGAATTTCTGGACAGCCTATTAACAGCACTTTCTTTTTTTTTTCATTGCATACTCGTTTTAGTTTAATATTTTCATCATTTTTAGGCTGTCAATAAAAAAAACTTAAAATCATTTGATAAAACGCACTTTTTCATTGCTATGTGATGTGGTGCCAAAAGAGTGGAAGGAACAGAATTTTGTTATGATTTCCTGGGATGATATAAACACATGGTGGCAAAGGACGGTCAATGAGGACACAAAGATAAGTGAGTTTCCCTAAGTGCAGAGAGCAAGCCAGACAGAGTACCCGGGGAAGTTCTGTCCAATTTTAGAAATGTTAAAGTGTGAAGAAAAAAACATGCAGGTTGTGTTTAGGTGACTGAGCGAACCAGTCTGACAAGCATCTCGGAGATGTGCTCGGGGATGACACTTAAGTATATTGAGGCCATATTGTGGCAGCGTTTAAATGATCCACTGGGGCCTTTAGATTTTGTTCTGATGATAATTCACAGCTGTGGAACATTCTGAGCTGGAGACTGCCAGGTAGGAAAGAGGATACAGGAAAATTAAAGAGCACATTAGACTGAATGCCAGTTGGACTGGGGAGGGGAGACAGGAAGGAAGCCAGGAGACAGTAATTCAGGGACAGGGTGATGAGGTTCAGACTTGGCACGCGTATGTACCATTTCTTGTCCTTAACCATCCTCTTATCCTTTATTCTTTCATTTGAGTTTCACTCCTTTTCTCTTTCAAACTGCCCAACTCCTACCAACTGGGTGCATTCTATCCTCATCTGGTTCCAGCCTTCTTTTTTTTTTTTTTGTAATTAGCTATCTAGTATTTATAGTCATCTCTAGTCAGATGCGTGGTCACTTAATATGAACAGCACATGCGCTGTGTATGGTTCATCTGAGTTTGTCTATAGGGATCTTTGTCCGGCTCATAAAATTAGTGTGGTCAGACTCCTGTCTGCTGTCACTTCTACTGCTCTGCTCCAGCTGACAGCTCATAGAGGTTTGCTTTCTTCACTCATTTCCTGGCCTCCAGGGCCTTCCACTCCCCCACCCCCAACCTTGAAACCCCACTTTTTCCACAAGGCTTTCCCTTACTGCATCAGTCCTCAGGAACATTTCTTTCCTTCAAAGCACTTAACAGGCCACTTAACAAACAGTACTCACTAGCATCTAGTCAAATGTAACCCTGTGTCCCATATTTATCTGTGCATGTATTTAGGCATTGTCATCTCCTCTGCCAGACTTCTTGAGCTTGGTTCGCCCCCATCCAGTCACAATGGTGGAAGGCTCTGAATCCCACCCTGACACAGCAAGTGCCCACCTAGATGGTAGCGGTCATCACACAACTCCTTGGACTCTCTGGGGCCTGGGCTTTCTTACCTTTTAAATGGGGATGCTGTCTGCTTTGCTTGGAAAAATATAATTTTATGACCCTGGGTGAGCAATAGACAAACCCTGGCTTCAAAACTCACCATCTCATGGTAACATTGTGCTCTTTTGATTACTTCTCTGGAACTCATTTCTCCTACATATAAAAAGAAGGAGGTTAAACTAGACTTCTCCAAGAGTGGTGCCCAGGGTTCCTGGGATCCTTTCAGGGGGCAAAACTATTTGCATAACAGTTTTAGAGTTATTTCTCCCTTTTTATGCTATCAGTGCACAGTGTTTCCCTGGAAGCCATATGATATGTGATGTCATTGCTGTAATGATAATTTGTGAAGGGCTTATTACTGTAATTTTTAAATGAATTAATATTTAAAATTTTTCCACAGTTCTAATTTTTTAAAAAGTAAATATATGTCCTCCACAAACAAAAGTTCTTTGAGATCCTAATAATTATTTTTTAGAAAGCGCAACATTGATTTTTTTTTTTTGGGGGGGGGTGTTATTCCACTTATTTATGCATTCATTGGCTGACTCTCGGATGTGCCTTGACCAGGGATTGAACCCACAGCCGTAGGGTGTGCGGCCCTTCCTCTAACCAAGATACCTGGCGAGGGGATGAAATTCTGATAATTTTTTTATATATATATATTTTTTAATCTTTAGCTGAGGACGTGCTTATTGGTTTTAGAGGGGGAGGAAGGGAGAAAGATGAGAGTAACAAGGACGAATTGCCTCCTGTAACCGCATCTACTCAGGACCGAAGCCGCAACCTTTCCGTTTACTGACGACGCCTAACCAACTGAGCCAAAGAGGCTACAGTGGCCAGGGCCTGATAATTTATTTTTTAAAGATTTTATTTATTTTGAGAGAGAGAGAGAGGGAGAGAAACATCGATGGGCTGCCCCTGGCAAGCCTCCAACGGGAGACCTACCCGCAACCCAGGCATGTGCCCTGACCGGGGATCGAACAAGAGATCTTTCAGTTTGCAGGCTTGAATCTCGACCGTCTGAGCCACACCAGCCAGGGCCTGCTAATTTTTAAGTGTAAAGGGGCTCTGAGACTAAAATATTTAAAAATGGCTGAACCAGATTTGTAGAAGCTCTCAAAGGTCATTGATTCACTCAAATATTTGGGTCTTCTGTGGCCAAGTATTTTTTAGATACGGACAAAGTCGTGATAAAGACAAGGTCCCTGCTCTTACAGAGTTTACATTTGGGATAGATGACAAACGGATATATTAACAAGGAAATTTCTGAGAGCAGCAAGTTTCATGAAGGCATAAAGCAAGACACGTGGTTCCTGCACAAAATGCACCAGCAATCCCGGCAGTAACACTCAACAGCGCGGTGGCCTACTTCAGCCCGTTGCCGCCCCCTAAGGCCCTCAGCCTTCCAGGGTGCCCCAGCCCCTGAAGCGGGTGGGGGAGGGGAAGACAGCGGCGGGGCGCTAGCGTAAGATGACGTCACGATCCCGCACCAGCCAATCACGGGCGGCCCCTGTGGAAGACACCGCAGTGGCCGACGGCCTGCGGGCGGCGCTGTGGCCTGTCAGGCGGCCCCACGACGCCGCCATAGCCCCTCGCCTGCCCCGTAGCCAACGTCTCCGCTGCCGGCCCCGCGCCGCCGCTATGGCCGACGTGGAAGACGGCGAGGAGCCCTGCGCCCTGTCCTCTCACCCCGGGAGCGCAGGCTCCAAGTCAGGAGGCGACAAAATGTTCTCTCTCAAGAAGTGGAACGCCGTGGCCATGTGGAGCTGGGACGTAGAGTGCGATACGTGCGCCATCTGCAGGGTCCAGGTGATGGGTAAGCGCTGCACGCGAGGCCCGGGCCGTGCTACGGCCTCCGCAGGGCCGGCTCCGGGCGGGGGGACGCGCGGAGGCTCGGAAGGACCCCTGCTCGGGGGTCTGGGGGCGGGGTGGCCCTGTCTTGGAGCGAGGGAGCGGGAGGGTGGGGGCAAGCCCGTGCGGGGGCCGCCACCTGGGGCCGTGGGGTCCCAGTACCTGGGGCTGCACTCTAATGAGAGAAGCAGGCAGTACACTAGAGGAATTAAGACAATTTCAGGTAGCGATGGCTGTAAACAAGAATATACATCTGTGCGGTTTGGTGGGAGCAGGGAGGAACCACTTAGGTTTGTGTGGCCACCTCCCGGCCCCATCCCTAAGAGCAGACTGCAAAGGGTCGGAGTAAAGGCCTTGGTTCAGCAGAGCACTTCATGAGTTCTGATCACACAGCAAAATGATGGCTCTGGTCATCTTCCACACAAAAAACGGTATCCTCAGTCTGCCCTTAAAAGCTGCAGGGAAAGAAAGTGTGCCCGGCCATTGCGTTTGTGGATTAGCTCTTGCTGTCCTGCTGTTGGCTTTTAAGCAGGTCAGACGGCTCTCACGTGGCTGGAAAGGGCACAGTGTGGTTCGAGAATATTTAAGTTTTGTGAGAATTGAATAAAGGTAAGCCCTTTACTTAGAAACACAAAACTTCCTGACTCCTGCCTGGCATAGGATGTCATTTCCTGGAAAAGATGCTGCCCTGCTCTGAGTCAGGCCTTTGTGGAGAGCCTGCTTTTACAAGTACGTCTTACTCCTTTCCTGATATTTTGAATAAAAATAAGAGGCCAAGTGAAACCTTTCAGAACAGCTTCACCCTATTTTGCTTTGTATGGTTTCTGTTTTAAGACCTCAGGCCACCTTGGAAAAGAGGTGCTGTTTAAATACAAGTTATATTTTTAAATAGGGCATTTAAAACTATTGCGAGAGCTTCTTACATGTTGTTTCTTGAAGAAAACTGAGGCTTCTATCATTTGAAAACGTCGTGTCTTGCCCTGAAAAATGAGAGTTGAAGAAACTAATTTACAGAGAACTCGCTCTCCCTTCTTGAGGGATGAAACTTTAAATTTGCAAGAATCACGAGATTTCTCAGTTTACACTCTCTTTAGGATGCCCTCTTGTCTTTACTCTTAAGGACTTGTTTCATAGAGGATTTACAACAATGGGGTTCAAGTATTTTTTTATTTTTTACTTTTGAAAGAGCTTGATTCCAGGCATGATCCACTTATTGTGCATATTAGGTTTTTAAAGTACCTACTTTATTGGCCTGCAGTACATTCCTGTCATCACATACCCCACCCCTTACTTAAGTACTAGACTCATATTTTCCAGTTTGGGTGGCATTTTTAACTTAACACAGGTGACTTCATTTTTTTGTCCTTAAGCAAGACAGGCTTTGCTAAAAATTTTGTCCCCCAAATTATCTTTCGTTAAAAAAGAAGACTGTTTGTAGAAAGGCATTTTATTTTTCTCCCCAAAGAAAAATTTTAAACTAGTGAGGAGAAATGTAGAATTTAAAGTAATGGTTGAAATCTTGCAACAAATAAACTTTACTTAGGGTATTTAAAGTAAGCCAAAGCATGGGCTATAAATGGCTCCCATTCACATTGGCTTTCTAATTATAGTAAAAGTGTTCTGCTACTGTGGATTAATGTTGCAGATTAACAACAGCTATACTTTCAGTTCAGGAAAGTATTCTGGACTAGACCTTTGTATTTAGTTTATGAGGTGTTAAAATCCACTCAGTGGTCAGGTGACACAGAAGGAAGTTTGTTTTTCAGACTTTCCAGTCCTTAACCCTAGCGTCGTTCTAAAAGTTGTTAAGTGTTATTGTAGTCTTCAGAAATGTGCTGTCTCAGATATTAGGAACATCATCAAAAGAAACTTTCTCCTTTTATCTGAAACTTTGGGGATTTTTATCCACTTAAGTCAGTTTCTGGTAATCTAAATCGAAGCGATAAGCATAATTCAGAGATTTCTAGATTCTGCAAAAAGAGCCCACTTAGTACCATTTCCTTAATATTTGGAATTCATCTCCAATAAATATCTTCATGATTTATTATGACTGACTTTTTCATCCAAGATTTGCCTGTCAGCCTGTTGTGATGTGGTTAATGCTCTTGGTTTCTACTCCCCTCCTTCCTTTCTGAAAGGAGCAAGTGCTGCTGAGGAAGAGAGGGTTGGTTTCGCTGGCGCTGCCACATTAGAAAGAGCCAGAACCCTTCCTGATTCTATGTTAACTTGGACAGTTGACACAGCCTTTTGGGACCTTCTTTTCCTAATTTGTGAAAGAGGTAGCTGGGCCCACAAACACGTAGTTCTGTGATTGCACAGAACCAGCGCCTTATCTTCACTCTTACGTGGTGATCCTTAGGATACTTAGTTGTTTCCTTGTCTGTACCCCCATTTGCTGTGGACTCCGTGTCCCTGGTGCATGGCTCCTTCCACAGAGGAGAGGCTCAGTAATGGTGGAATTGAAGAAAGTCTTAAGAGGCAGTGGTTTTCAGTCCACATGGAAGAGGCCAGAGTGGTGTGTTTTTCTAGGTAAAAAACATATAAAGAGAAGCAAATCCCTGCGCATGATCCAGTGTAAGAGAGAAGCAGGCTTCAGCTTCACCATGTGTCTACTTTTACAGAATTATTTTTCTCCAGTTTATGTTAAAAACTCTTTTTCTGTTGGTGTGAATTTCCTCTTACCCACCACCTTTGACTCCTCTTCCAGCGAATGTATGAATCTATTTCATTAGTCCCTGAAATAATCTCTATTATCTCCTTCATCAAGCAACTTAGTTTACTTGAGATTCCCATTCCTAGTATTTACTCCCAAGTAATTTATTAAAAGACTTTGCCATTGTTAGGTAAATGTTTTGGGCTCAGACTTACTTTGTAAAGGGAGCATTTTCTTAGAAAGAAAAAAAACCCCCTAGTTTTTATAAAGTATTTTTAATTATTTTAATTTTTATATAGATTATACAATCACATAATTAAAAAATTTAAGACAGTATACAATGAAAACTCCTGCCCATTCAATCCCCTCCCAAGTAAACTTTATCGTTCGTATCTTGGATATCCTCCTAGAGTTTATGTATGCATGTATAAGCAAATACCAATATATATGCATGGCTTATTTAATTTTTAAATTTTATTTCTTCAGTTACAGTTTACGTTCAGTATTATTTTGTATTCGTTTCAGGTGTACACACATAGCAGTTAGATAATCACATACTTTATAAAAAGTGTTCCCTCCTACATTTTCAGTACCCACCTGGCATCATGCATAGTTATTATAATATTGACTATTCCCTGTGCTATACTTTATATCCCTGTGTGCACAGCTTATTTAAAAGCGTGTCTTGAAAATAAACAACCCCTCAGGTTGAGATCGTGAACATGCCCAGTGTTATAACAACTTCTGATATAGTGGAGTATGGCATATTTTTCTCTAGTGGTTGGTTGTATCCACTGTCAGGACATCTTTTCATCAGATTTGTAAAAATAGAGGGTCAGTAACCCTTGTAAAATTGCTTCTGGTCATAAGTAAGTAGAGTGTCTTGTACTTCACTCATCTTTAAACAGTTATGTTCAGATGAGAAATTAATAGTATGAGTCTTTTGTCTCCATTTCTAACCCTTTGGGCTTTTTTTTGACTTTGAAGTGTCTGGGTTTTAAAATTACATTCTGAGCATCAGAATGAGAATTGCTATTTGTTTACTTTTAGATGCCTGTCTTAGATGTCAAGCTGAAAACAAACAAGAGGATTGTGTTGGTATGTTGTAATTTAGTTCTCTTGCTTTTTCAACTGAAGGTTTTCTCTCAGTGGGGATGTTTGAATTTGCTGTTAAGATTGACTTTACCAATATACAAAAATAAACTGTAAAGCAGTGATCTATTATTAATGTAAAATGTGCTGGTTCTTAAAAGGCCTTAATGGAATTAATCTGCAAGTGTTTGTATTGCCTGTAATTAAGAAGAATTGGCTATATTAGTATTTCAGACATGGGCATAGTGAACATTTTGATAATCCAAAAAAATGAATAATTCTCTTCTATTAAGAAAATTATATAAGAGGTATTTGCCAAAATATTATGTAAACTTTGAATATGTTATAGGTCAGTTTTGGTAGGGTTTCATTCTAATAAAGCATTTCGGTTTTTAATACCCTTATGATATGTTTAACTTTTCAATTATTGTAGGAAAAACTCATAAGTCTCTTTTGGGGATGCAGTGTGTATATAGAAATGTATTACGTTTTCTTTACAGTCTAAGACAACAGAATTTGTCTTAGGCTAAATGTTTTAAGCAGTTCAAAGGTTTGTATGTCCTAGTTCTCGAAGTCATCACATCTAGATTACTATATAAAAGTGTTTAAACATTTTTCTAGAATGAAAGGTTAACTTTGTGTAGGAACTGAGTAGAGGTGAGCAAAGGGAGAAAAAGCGGGGACAACTGTAATAGTATAAACAATAAAAGAAAGGTCAACTTTGTACTTTGTGTTGGTGTGGTTTACATGCGGCCTCTTATTAATGATTTGTGCTGTTTTGATCAAATTTTCTTCCTTATGAAACACTAGAATAATTCCCTCTTGCTTTCTACCCTCTATAGCCTGTTTACATGAGAAGTTTTTTTTTTCCTTTTCTCTTTTATTCCTATGTCTTTCATTGTTCTGTTATCATATAGCTCAGTTGGTCAAGCAAGGGACAGATGAAGCTCACATTTGAGATTGTAGTCCAGATTGTGGGTAATTTCCCTTGGTTTAAAATTTTTCTTTCATGTTGTTTGTTTAAAAAATACTAACTTGGAAATTGTGAGGTGTAGGCCAGCTTTCTTTGATTACAGAAAGACCTTTCTTTCCAGACATCCACTTTGAAAATTTCTGTTTGTCACATGAGGAATGGCACAGCCTGTTGATGACTTAACACAGCTCATCACCACTTCTAGGAAACAGCTCAGTAGATGTACAGCTGATAATATTTAGAAGCATGTCATCTATTTTTAATAGCCTACCATGAACTGAAAGCACTTAAAACTCACATTGGTAAATAAAAATCAGGAGGACATTTGTTAGTGAAATATAGCCCCAAATGTCTCCAAGGTCAGTGCATGCATGACTAGGAAGGTCTGGCATCTAAGGAAGGCTCAAGTCCTTTAATCTCCTAATTTCAGGAAGACAGCATATGGAGCTGTGTAGGAACTGGGGGCCACCACTTCATCCAGATTCTAGAACAGTGATGGAAAGTCCCCTAAGCCCAAACTTTACATGTGTAAGTTTTTATTTCTTTATAGGTAGAAAAAATTATTTTTGACCAATTTGCCATCTTTATTTGAGATTATGAACCATGATTATTATTCATAATATAAAATAAGATACATATTTGAGCTCAGTGATTTAAAGTGAAATGTGTAATGTCAGATAATTTTTTTTCCTTTTAGTGGTCTGGGGAGAATGTAATCATTCCTTCCACAACTGCTGCATGTCCTTGTGGGTGAAACAGAACAATCGCTGCCCTCTCTGCCAGCAAGACTGGGTAGTCCAACGAATCGGCAAATGAGAGTGGTGGAAGGCCTTCTTAGTGCATGCAGCTGTCCAGAGCCCTGGGGGACCCCGTTATCAAGTGCCCTACAAAGGCAAGGACACTCTAGGAGACTGAGTCCCCAAACAGAAGGAGATGGATCTTTGGTCTTTGAGGACTCATCAAAGGCATGGGTTAGCTTTTTGTCGATTTTATTTTCAGAAACTCTCTACAATTAAGAAGATAATTTATTAAAGATGCTCTTTCCTATCTCTGTGGTATGTGTCACACTGCTTAGAAGTGTTATAAAGGAGAAGACTCCAAATTGAATGATCTTTATAATTTACTTACTGATATCCAGGGGGCTGTGGAAACAGTTCCATTCAGAAGAGACCTTTTTGCATGCTTATGGTTGATCAGTTAAAAGAAAAAACAATGTTACAGTAACAAATAAAGTGCAGTTTAAAACCCAACTTTTATTCTTAATTTGTTCCTGGTATTTATTTTAGCGAAGGGAATGGTTCTTGAAATATTTATTTGATAGGACAGTTCTAAGTTTGGACCAGTGAGCAGCGTAAATAAAATTTAATCTTTGGATATAGGGGATTTTGATTGTCTTTTAGGTTATCATCCTCTATCCTTAACTCATCAAAAAAATCTAGATCTGCACACCTGACTGTTCACTTGTTCAGTGGTAAAGGACAGAGGTATTTTCAAGTTTTACCCAGATTATGATGTAATTTAACAGTGTTTTAGGTGGACTGTTAATGAGGGGAAAATGTTTACCACTACAGCATTGGATCAAAAAAAGTTTATTTTATTACACAGTGTTTTAATAAATGGTTTATTCTGTTTACTTCATTTGAATTGTCATTATTGCATTTTATGTACAACTTTAAATCTGATGTTAATAAACTGATTTGTCAAGTGACTCCTGTTTCATTTGAAAAAATATTTATATGCTCTTTCATTTGGTAATAAGAAAATTTTAAGTTTATTACCTGGAAACATGTAAGTGTGAAAAAATACTTAAATTTTATCCAACTCATTCACATTTAGTGGAGGCTATCTTGTAACAATTTATGGACTACAAAATCATTTTGAATTTTTCCATAAAAGAGGCTACTGCTAAAAATTTTTTAAATTACAATCTTTGCAACTTAACCATTAACTTCTGCAGATTCAGAGGTGGCCATTCTGAATCTTTAAAGAATGTGGGTACATAAGAGAATGTTAAAAAATAATTAATAAAAATTAAAATTCTGTATGCATTTACATTGGCCATTAATCAGGTTTCATTATAAATTTTCCCTTTATGTATTTTTTCACAACTGTCCACTGAAAAAATTATATACGAATATGAATATTAATATGTTTGACTATTTGAATGTGCTTGTCATGGGCAATGAACTATTTTAACAGCTTTTTGACCTTTTTAAAAGGTTGTACCTATAAAAAGTGAACCAAATATTTCACTTTCAAATGTTATCTAATGAAATATTAAAAATGTTATCTTAGTCATTGTGACAGTATGTAAATTAAATGTGGAGGATGGTGGTAATAAGTTGGTTTTCCACAGCGAAACTGCTGGTCAGCCACCTAACAGCTCTGTTGCTGTTACACAGCAGCATCTGACAGGGACGAAGCAGCACCGACCCTCACCACCCTGGAGTGATAGCGCACCTGCATAGCCATGCGAACGTTCAGAAGAACAAGCTGCGACATTTAATTAGGAGTTCCAACACAAAAGTTGAGCATTGAGCAGGTTTTTCTTTCCATTTGGATAAATAGTGTTGAATTTTATTTTACTAGTGTATCGGGAGCACATTTGTGATCATGAGCTATTTAATTCTCCATCTTTGCAAGTTACCGTGTATTACAGCTGGCATCTGAGTAAATGAAACCTATGAAATTGATTATTTCCTTTTTTTAAAAAATGTCCCCTTTACTATTCTGAAATGAAATCGCTGCCTCCACACATAATTAAAATGTATGTAATATTTAATTGTAATACAGAATAAAAATGAGAGGAAAGTAATTATAATTATTTGCATTTCAGCATATAAATACTTGGGTATAATTAATTACCTCAGAAGACTGCATATGTGGATGTGTGATCACTACACGTAGACTGTTGTGACTCAGAAACACAAACATTTCCATTGATATTAAAATTTTTTCCCCTAAAATGGTGGGTCACACATAGTAAAGTTCTGAACAAAACAATGTACAATCTTGATTTACATGTTAGTTGCATGTTTGGAAACTAAGGAATTTTAAAGCTATGTAAAAAAGTACTTTGTGCCCTGCCTAGTGTGGCTCGGTTGGAGCGTCTTCCAGGTTGTGGGTTCAATTCTGGTCAGGGCACATGTCTAGGTTGCAGGTTTGGTGCCAAGTTGGGCAGCATCTGAGAGGCAACCAATCAATGTTTCTCACATCTTTGTTTCCCTCTCTTCCCCTCCCTCTAAAATCAATAAGCATGTCCTTGGGTGAGGATAACAAAAAATTCTCTGTGTTTATACTATATAAAAAGAAATTAGGACCTAAGGTTTAGATCATCATAAACTGATTTTTCTTCTACATGAAAGGACATTCAAAAGTCATACAGGGCCCTGTCTGGTGTGGCTCAGTGGGCTGGGCATCATCCCACAGACCCCAAGGTCACTGGTTGGATTCCCAATCAGGGCACATGGCTGGGTGACAGGCGGCAGGCCGCAGTGATGTTTCTTGCACGCGCCAATGTTTCTCCCTTCCCCTCTAAAAAATAAGATCTTTTTTAAAACAAGTGACACAGGACGCTGAACCATGTTTCATCAAGAGAGATTGTCCTGTATGTTGAAAAACATTGAACTTCTCTGGCCCCCATCCACCAAATTGCCAGTGTTGCCATCAGTCTTTGTGCCGCCAAAGAAGCACATTTGCAGAACATCCCCTTTAGCATATTGGCTTCGGGAGCGCTGAGTTCAGTGCCTGTATGGATGCTTAACGTGTACTTTGTGCCACAGTCTCTGAGAAATATCCTAAACTGACAGACACAAAATAAGTCCTATAAAAGGTGTAAAGGGTGCAGATTTTTGAATAGCTATTACCCTAAAAAGAATAGTTCAGAGAACCAAATCCCGCTGATCTATGCACTCCTCCAGAGCTGAACAACACTTGAAGTCAGTATTTAATACCCAGGACATACGTGCTTCGTGAATATTCCCTCGGCAGTCTCCTAGGTCTGAAGAATAAGCTAGAAATTGTTTTATTTAACTGAAGCCAATGTAGAAGCCATTAGGATCAGGAAAAAAAAAATGTTAAGTTTTGTTTTAGAAGTTTAGTAGACATCTAATAAGGTAACTATTTTAAAAATGTTTTGTTGCTTTTTAAAGTTATTGCCAAGGGCTGACTTCAGGAAGTGCTCTGAAAAGAAAATCAGAAAATTTTCATGTTTACTTTAGTAAGCCCTTGTTTAAAAAAATATTTAAAGGGTAAATATTACTAATTCGGATATAAGCAAAATTGGAATTAAAGTACAAGTAATTTTAAACTTTAAGCTGTTTTATATTGAACATTTGAATGACATACTAACATAAATACTTGCAGGGAAGATCCTCTTCTGCCATCTTTACATCATTGCATATCTCTTAGGTTTTGTTTAATGAAGTATGTTTTACAGGAATAGTATCTTCTCTGCATTTTGATACTCAGTGTCTGAGACTGAAGAGTCAGGATACCTGGACTTGAATCCTAGCACCACCACTTACTTGTGTGACCTTGAGCAAGTTCTTTCACCTCCCCAGACCTGAGTTTCCTCATGTTCAATATAAATAACAGCACCTACCTTACGAGGTCATCTTGAGGATTGAAGACTAAATGGATGATTAATACACATGTAAAATGGAGAACGGTTTCTAGTACATGGTAAGTAAGTGCCACTGTTGTTATTTTATTCATTTTTGGAAGCTCCTTCACTAGAAGTGGCACTTTAAAAATAATGTGTTTTTAATTATGGGCTAAAGCACTGTTCTTAATAAGTTCTTCGTAGGAATTTTGTCAGGAAAAGTTCATTGTAAACAGATTGCTTGTGGCACTGTGAGCTTCTGTGAAGGACGGTAATGAGGCTTTAATGATTTCACCGTTACATTTTTTTCCTAATCATTTGTTCAACATGATTTCCAGATTTTTATATCAAGAAAAAAATTTGTAGGTGCTGAGCTCTCATTTTAACTTTAGGTATTCCGTCTTAATCTTAGTCAAAACATTTCATTGGAACTTACAGCTATGAATGTAGGGGTGTATTTTTGAGCACTTAATTTTTGGTGATATCCATATGGTTTAGAAAATTAAAAAATGTTTTACAGCCTTCAATTGTTATCTTCATGGCCTTTCAGAGCAGGAGTAAGCTTTACAAGCAATCTGCTGCTTCCTCTCGTCTGTGTGCTCGGTAAAACCAAGTGAGTGATAAGAATAGAACCTGCTCTTCTTACATTGGCTGCAAGCAAGCCATCCCTCGGGGAGGGTGGCTGGTATAACACAGTAGATAGACTATACTTTGGGAGTCACCCAGCCTGGCTTGGAATCCTTACTCCATCACTTACCAGTATGATCTTGCACCGAATCCTAAACTTCTCTGTGCCTATTTCCTCAACTAAAGTGGGAATAACTACTATCTACCTCATAGAGTTGCTATGAAGATTTCATGAATTAATACATGTTAACTGCCTAGAATAGTGCCTGAAACATAGTAAGCACTTGATAAATGTTAGCCATTATTATAGAGCATTACCGGCCCAGCTAATCTCTGCCTTAATTAGAGAATGACCTTCAAGAAAAGTATATTGTTTGCAGTGATGCTTCTTGTAAGAATTCTGATGTTTGTGTGCGCCCACAAGCAGTGAAGAACTGTCAACATGGGTTTTTAGGAGAATGGTTTTTAACCACCCCCTTTTTTTTAACCACCCCAACACATCTCACATCTGAAAAACATAGTCCCATCAGTGACAATGGGCTCTCCCACAGTGGTCCCCAAAAAGTATGTGTATAAACAGGGTGCGCAGGAGAGGCAGAAAAGCTGCCTAAGTGAAAATCGCAGTTAAAAACTACAGGAAGTATTTCAGCGCAGACGAAGTGTTCGGTCGCATTTGTATTTTATCCGAGCCTCTAAATAACTACCTACTATTTAAAGTTATTGGAGCTTATTTTAAAACATGCAACTAAATTATTTGTACCTAAATTTTAGTGTAATGGGATAATCAGAATTACCAGACCACCCAGGATGTGACTTTATAAATTCAAAAAATACATAGCCTCAATCAAACAAGCTTTGTGTGGTTGGTGCAATATAATCGCCATCTAACTCTTTAGGGGTGATTTTTAGGCTTTCATTGTTAATTAACCTTTGCTGTGCTAACTTCTGCTCTGCTTTTTCTAGTGTTATAGAAATTATATATTTGTAACATTTATAATAAAATTTATCAGTTAACGCTTGCCTACTATGAGGTGCTGCCTTCATGATAGAAAAATTTGAATACTAATACATTTTTGATCTTCAGAGACTGCAGGCTCGGCTCTGTTAGGGAATGTTAGAGTCACAACAGAATTGCAAAATATAATGTTATGAATTTCCTAAAAGATACAGCGCTCTGGGCAGTGGAAAGACAGACCACACTCCCTCGCAGCATATATAACATGACTACATGGGCCATTTCTTGTGTGCATTATGACAACACACTTTCATTTTACTTAACAATATTTGGAATGTCTGTGCTCCACAGCATTTCTGGGGCGAGGAGGTATGTCTCCTTGAAATAGCTGTTCACATTGTTTCCATTCCTTGCCTACCTTCCTGGCCTTCAGTTCTGTCTCCATTCGGCCTACCCTGTATCTGCCTGGTTGTAGCCTTCTACATAAGACAAAGGGAGAAGGAGGCCAGCCCACGGACAAAAAGACCCTCTCAAGGAAAATAACATTTAAAATCATTTCTTTCTTGAAGGGTATGGAGTTATACTATCCAATAGTGTAGTCACTAGCACTAATTAATTAAAATAAAATTTAAATTTCAGTCCCTTAGTCATACCAGGAACATTTCAAAGCTCAGTAGTCACATACGGATAGCGGCTTCCATATCGGCTATCACAGAACAGGACAGTTCCATTACAAAAGGAAGTTCTGTCGGACAGTGTTATTATAGATCGTCCCTTTCTAAGGTTTATTCTGTCAGAATTTAGGCATCGTGGGAGCCACAGTTACATCAAATAACAATGACCAGTTGTTAATAGTTGAGAAGTTGCTGCTACATGTGCTTTCTTTTCATAAATGCTTAGCATCAAAAAGGGTTTCTTATCCCTGAAATGACATCTTTGTGTTTTTATTTCTTAATATGCTGACTTGTAAAGCAAAAGATTTTAACGGACCTTTAGCACAAGTCCATTATGACACATTTGTTTGGTCCTTGATTGAAATTATATCTAAACAATATAACATAAAAATATCATGTTATA